AACTCGCTTCCATTGCACTGTTTGTGAGGTGAGGACTATAGAATGGGAGGGGTGGGAAGATCGCATAAGATCATTATTATTTTTACGAGTTTTATGTGTAAAGCTGATATGCAGTTTTTCTCAGGACAGACACAAATTGAGACCCTTTTTGCTGTGTCCTCAATTATTCAAAATTTGTGCCAGGAAATACAGGATGTCTGCTCACCCTAGTTATAGAAATAATCAGTTGTACTTAGTGTACTGGATGAATTGACATTAATTACCAGCATTATTTAATGATTCTAACCTCTCCTTCACAGGACTATGATCTCTGCATCACTTGCTACAATACAAAAGGTCACAAGCACAAGATGGAAAAACTGGGCTTGGGGTTGGATGATGAAAGCAACAACCAGGCTCCTTCCTCAACACAGAATCCTGGAGACTCACGGCGTCTCAGTATTCAGAGGTGCATCCAGTCTCTGGTGCATGCCTGCCAGTGTCGCAATGCCAACTGCTCACTTTCATCTTGCCAGAAAATGAAACGTGTAATTCAACATACCAAAGGCTGCAAACGTAAAACCAATGGTGGTTGTCCTATCTGCAAGCAGCTCATCGCACTCTGTTGTTACCATGCAAAACACTGCCAAGAGAACAAGTGCCCTGTGCCATTCTGCCTCAACATCAAGCAGAAACTGCGGCAACAACAGCTCCAGCACAGGCTACAGCAGGCCCAGATGGTGCGTAGAAGAATGGCCAGCATGCAAAGGACAGGCCAGCAGATTTCAGGAGGCAATGGTGGGCTGCCATCTCCTGGAAACAGTAGTACTACTGGTCCAAGCACACCAACACCAAGCACTCAGCCGCCTACCCCACAGACGCCCACTCAGCAATGCCAGACTCCAGTGACTCAACCTGGCGTTGGAGGTGTTCCATCACAACAGCAACAGCAGTTGGCAGGGATAGCCCATCAATACCAGCAAATGACTGGAAGTGGTGGGATGATGAATTCCTTGCAGCAGCCCATGATCCCACAGCAGCAGCAACAGCTGACATCAGTTCAGCATCTTCAGCATGCCAACAACCTTCCTCCATACGTGCAAAGACCTCCAGGCTCCTCTCCACTTTCTCAATCAATGGGAAAGCCAGGCATGGTGCCAGGCAGCTTCCCTCAACAGCAACAGTCGAACTTGGGGCAGCCTGTGATGCCTCAGCATCAGCTGCAGCATCAGCTACCTGGCCCCCCACCTGCTGCTGTAGAAATTGCCTTGAAGATTCAACGAGTCGCAGAGACTCAACGGCAAATGGCTCAGCAAAAGATCCTGCAAAGAAACCAGGCTCCTGGAATGATGCCTCCACATGGTCTTCATCAGGGTCCCCAAACTCAAAGCCAGATGGTCATGAACCTTCCTGGAGCTGCAATGGTTGGGCCTCAGGGAATGCCACCCCAGACACAAGCAGCAGTGGCCCGAACTCACATGGATCAGCAGCAGGGAATGATTACAGCAGGCATGCAGCAGCAGCAGACAGGACCTCAGGCTCAGCTCCCTCAAGTCCAGTTACAGCAGGGCCAGCAAGGAGCACCCCAACTTCAGGTGCCTCCACAGCAGCAGTGGACTGGTCCTGGCATGCCTCCTCAGCAGAGACCTGGGGTAATGAACCAAATGGGTCTGCAAGGAATGGTTGCACCTCAACAACAACAACAACAGCAGCAGCAGCAGACAGTTGGTCAACAGCAGCAGCAAGGGCATTCTGGTGTAATTGGAATGATAAGTGGCCAAGGAGGGGCTGCACCTGCAGGTGGTGGCCCTGGAAATCACTCTCAGGCTGCCATACAGGACCTCCTAAGAACCTTAAGGTTACCCAGCTCTCCCCATCAACAACAGCAAGTCCTGAATATACTACGTTCAAACCCTCAGCTCATGGCAACCTTTATCAGGCAACGCGTTCCTAGGTACCTTGGTCGAGGCGGTCCTGGAGCAGGAGGTGGGGGTGTAACAGGAGGACCTGGTGGAGGTCCAGGAATCATTGATGGCCAGCAAATGAATGTAAATCCTGGGACAGCTCAAGGAGGTATGCATATGGCACAAGGAACTAGCATGAATCAGCTTCAGCAGCACCAACTTCAGCAGCGGTCGATGATGGGTGGGAATTTGCAGCAACAACAGCAAATGGCAGTATTACAACAGCAGCAGCAGCAGCAACAACAGCAGCAAGGTGTTATGCCCAATCAGGGTGCCAACATATCTAACATCTCCCCCCAGTTCAGAGAAATAATGAGGCGTCATTTGCAGCAGCAGCAGCAGCAGCAACAACAGCAGCAGCAACATATGGAAAATAATGCTCAGTTCCAACATCCTCAACCACCCCATCAGCAGGGTTATCTTGGCCAATCTGCAATCCCCCCACAGCAGCCTGGCCAACCTCAGCCTGGCGGTCTCCAGCAGCAACAGGGAGGTACCCAGCCTGGGACCCAACAAAACTATTCTGGGTCTGTGTCCCATCAGCAGGTTGCAGCAGCTCTGCAACAAAGGTTGCAGCTTCACCAACTTCAGATGCAGCAGCAGCAGCAACAACAACAGCAGCAGCAACAACAACAGCAGCAACAACAGCAAAGTGCTATGGCAGGACTCCAAGGTGCTGATGTAGGTCCTGGAGGCGGTGGTTCCCTCCAGCAGCAACAGATGCAATCGGCTCCGATTGGTTCACAACCTCAAGCCATGCTTCAGCAAGCTTTGCAGCAACGGCTCCTCCAGCAACAACAGTCACATTTAGGAGGAGGATCTCCTGCTCAACACAATCCCATGAGCCCACAGCAGCCCCAGCAGCAGATGTCCCAATCTCCCCATTTGCAGGGCCAGCAGTTGCCTAATTCTCTAAGCAACCAAGTCCGCTCACCACAGCCGTCGCCTCGGCCCCAGTCCCAGCCACCAAACTCTAGTCCATCTCCTCGCTTGCAGCCCCAGCCTTCACCCCATCGCATCTCGCCCCAAACCCAGACGGGATCCCCTCACCCAGGTCATCTTTCTCAGCATCACGGTGGCATGGTTGCTCCTCCACTTCCACAACAACAACCGCAGGCATCCCAACAGCAGCAACAGGCTAATGCGATGGACCAGGGCCCATTTGGAGGAGACCAGAGTGCCATGCTTTCACAGCTAGGTGGGATGGGAGCCTTGCATGGGCAAGGGACAAATGACATGCTGACAAATAACCAAGATATGAATCACTCGTTAGATTTGATGTAATGTTGCAGTGTTCAAAGAACTGTCCTGATTGCCAGAGTTTGGTAGCAAATGTAGGATTTACAAAGACTGTCATCGATAGTATTATTATTACTATTATTATTATTATTTAATATTTTTCTTATGTAATTGAAAAGAACTGAACTTCCTATGGGAGATACTACATGTGCAAGTCAACAAATTAAGTTAAATGAATGGTAAATTATTGCTTGTTAATATATAAATATATATATAAATATATTTTTTGCCAATTGAGTTCAAAGGGTTTTGGGTTAAGGGATGGGAAATATTTCCTCTTGGTATATGACCAGAAATATTTTTGGGGTTAAGAAGTCTGTCTTTTTTATAGATATTTAAAATTTTTTTAAAAGTGGCATAAAATTAAAAAGCAAAATGCGTAAACAAAATGGACTATTTTGTTTTCTTTTTCCTCAAAACAGTTAAGAATGTCATCGGTTTTGGAGAGTATTAGATTTATTTTCTCCAATGTAATGATTATGAAAATGATGGCATTGGTAATTATTTATTACTCTACACTTTTGGTTTGCTAATAGATATTTTCCTGTTCTTTTGTTTTGGACAATGTATGGCATATGCTAATTGAACCTACAATTTTTGAAGAGTATATTTTTGTTATTGATAGAACCTGACTATAAAAGGATGAATTTATATTCTTAGTCTACTTTTTTCCCCCCTTTTTTAAAAATGTTATTTCTTTTTTTGAGGGGTGGATGGGGCTTAAATTAAGTTTTGGTAGTGTTTGGGAAATGAGTATGTGTTTTTTGATGGCTTGTTGCATGGGAAATATTTGTCCTGTGCATGTCACAGTTTTCCCACTCTCATACACCCGTGTCCCATGAATGTGTTTTCATTATGCCCTTCTTCTCAGTAATGGAACCTGATGACACTACAGGTGTGTTTAGGACAGTGCAGGGAACTCTGAGACTAAATGTTGATGTGGGATTATGGATTTCGCAAATAATCACCCTGGAACTACCCTGACTCTGACTCCCAAATCCTTCTCTTTCCTCCCACATCTCCCCAGTAAGGAATTGTTCTGACTCTTCACACGCATCTCTAGTGTTCTGAACTTTGGGATTTAAGTGGTCTCCTTAATGTATAAACAAAAACTGAAAATAAATTACTGAAAATTAATTGTCTTTGTAAAAAAAAAAAATATATATATATATGTATATATATAGTGTGTGTGAATGGAGATAAATGGACAGATGTTTCTCTTGATTTAAGATCCTTTGAGTTGAAGAACTATGGGCAGCTTAGACTTAATCTGAGAGATTTTTATACATAAATGGAGTGCAAGTCAGACAAGCACCAATGCGCCTTTGTATGTGCAATTCATTACAAGGATTTCATTTGTGTGTTATAAACCAACACTGACTGTCATTATCTCCATCCTGTGCACAAATACAGTAGGAAAGACAGAGTTTTAGATAAAAAGTGGATGGTCTTTTTGATTATATGACAATAACCTATAAATTAATTGTTTTGCTTGGTTAAAAGGGTGATGAATACAAAACAGAGGCAATATGGCTTTAGACTTATTTTATAAATAATAAGAACAATATTTGTTTTATATATATATATATATATATATATATATAGATATTTAATTT